CGTGCGTGCGTGCGTGCGTTCGTGCGTTCGTGCGGGTGTGCGGGCGTTCGGGCGTGCGGGCGTGCGGGCGTGCGTTCGTGCGTTCATGCGTGCGTGCACCTGTTTCCCGCGCCGGCTGCGCCCGCCCGCCCGGGGAATGCGCCGCCCTGAAGCTGAGGCCTTTGTTGAGGGTGGTGGATCTCAAAGATCCCAACAGCCCTTCGCAATTCTTCAGTGGCACCTGGCACGAGGACATTTCCGAAGTGGAAGTGGTCGACTTGGTGGAGGTGGATATTTATTTGTGAGGGGTTCCACCAGATCGTTGTGACAATGGGTGTGGGTTTGAATGGGTCTGATACAGCGGTTTCTCAACATATTGAGGTGGTTGAAACACAGCACTTTGGCTGGGGTTTGGGTTCGTCAAAATGCCTCATGGTTCTCCAGAGTTACGGGATGCCGTAACCCCAATGAGATGATCGCTTCCAGCACGGATTTTTTTTCCGTGAGATCGCTTCCACGAGGTGATCTGATCGCCCACTCACGTGATCTCCCACAAAAACGTGATCTCCACCAGACTGTCCGGGAAGATCCCTTTGTGCTCTTAGCCCCTAGTAGTGTCCTTGCTCCTAGTAGCGATGCCCTTTGTTCCTAGTAGCTTCTTCCTCCTGGTAGTAAGGCCAGGAGCCCCAGTAGCTTCTTGTTACGTCCGTGGCGATGCCAGGAAGATCCCTTTGTGCTCTTGCCATCCATCACCATTCAGCTGAAGAACCCCTCCACGGGGGCGGACCACGGCACCTTGACGGTCCGGTGTCTCCGTTTCAGCCGGTCGGGTGGCCGGTTGGGTGGCCACATGGCGGTTCCTGGCCTGGTGGGCCGGGCGGTTCGGTTCGCCTTCCAGTTCATGGTTAATTTACTAGTAGTAGCGTCCTTGCTCCGTTCGTAGCGATGCCAGGAGCCCCTAGTAGCGTCCTTGCTCCTAAAAGCAGTTTGCACATGTCGGCACCAGTTCAGCCGTTCAGCTAAACCAGTCTTTTGGGTTGGTACAGAAGATCCATCTTGGGGAGACTTTGTTCAGCTTGGGAGACTTTCTCATAAACCAATGCCAACTCACAGCTGGATGTCGTCGAATGGATCATGCATTTGAGATCAGTGAAGTTGGCGCACAAGGACTGCATCACCAGGTCTTCTCAGGTGTTCCCGAAGCATCACTGCCAAAGTTGGCCTGGAAATGGTCCTCTTCCCAAGCACCAGTGGCAGCAAACGAGGTCCGATGTTTTTCAAACCTTTCGACCCAACAGCACCCCTGGAAGCATCTTGAGCAGCATCTATTGTGGGGACCCATGTAAGCCCATGTCCAAGGTCGTAGGTGTAATAGTTCAGTGCGACTATCCTTTCTCATGCGGCCAGGTGGGGCTGAACCAGTTGGGCATGACTTCACAGTGGGTGCTCTCAGTGGCCTGTCAGGGCCGAAAGTGATCCACCTGTAGGTTCGTTTGGCGGGATCTCCCAGCCATGGGCAGTCACCACTGGACATCTACGTGTTGGAGTCAACCTGGGATCCAGCGACTTTGAGACAAACCTGCAGGGATTTTGAGACAAACCTGAACCTGGGATCCGGCGATGGGTCAAGCCAGGCAGGGGGGCTTGTTAATCAAGGCCCCGGTGGAGCTGTGTCCGACCGGAAGAGGGCCGACCGGACATACAGCAGTTCAGACCAACCACAGATTCAACTGGTTATTTGGGTGTGGGTCAAAACCGAAAACCCACCAAACCATGGAAGGTTGACAGGGCCTAAGTCCAAGAGGAATCTGTTCTGATCCGGGGTCCAGGGTGTCCCGGTTTTGATCCAAAACCGGGACATCGCCCCCGGCGTCGGGCCGCCCAGGACCATGGCGGCGAGTTGGATGCAGATCTGCAACGAGGAGTTGGCAAAGCTGCCAGAGGAGTGGGTCGAGAGCGACTAAAAGAGAGCCTCCAGAAAAAGATTGAGAGAGGCAAACTAGAAATCACTGTCTTCAGGTCACAGTGAGGTGACTACATTCTCACGTCTTTTTCCCTGCTAGCAAGGGTATTTGGCTGCTGCGCGTGGCAGACGGCAAAAGTCGTGTGAGTGTATCTCCCCCCTCTCTCTCTCTATGTGAAGGAGTTGCACCAGTGGAGCTACCAGGGCAATGATGGAGGAGTAAGGACGGTGTAGCAGTCCTAGCAGCGCTTGCACTACCCAGCGTGTCAGGCCTTTGTGCATACAATAAGCAAGATTCCTTGATTGAATAGGATAAAGACATGTTGGGATCGCCTTCAAGGATCTTCAATGCAACTGCGATGGACTCAGAACATCTCCTACGATGGACCACACTCCAGAACTTCGCTTGATCGCCAGAACCAGGACCGGAGCCATTCAGCCCTTGCGAGGCATCAAGGCGACCGACCGTCACCGGAGCAGTCACGTTTCCCCCCTGTTCGGACTCCGGACGAAGAAGATCTAGTTGATGAAGTTCCACCATCTGCCTGACCAACATTTTGCATATGCACAACTATGCATAGATGTATATGTACCAGATAGACCCAATGGTTTATTCAATGTTCCTCGAAAGATGTGCATCCACGTTCTCGTACACAATACCCATTGTCTCGATATGATCCTGGTGTTGGTGCAGAAATGGTAGTGTAGATGCCCATCAACATGGTTTGAAATGGGGTTGCTATTGCTTGCCCTGATTTCAGTATGGCTGTCGGTCAAAGACTGCATCCTGCAGATTGTTTGACTTGTGTTCCAATGGGCTCAGTCTGCCCAGATGACACGCTGCACTCACGCGGATTGAGCGGCCTCGAAAAGTAGCACCCTTTTTGGCCATCAGCTGAATTGGTTAATTAGTTTGCTTTCCGCTTGTGTTTCCACGCTGCAACGGCCCATCGGTTTATGGTCGGCAGAACTTGATAATATTGATTCTCAACGATTGAGGGATTCGAACAGATCCGTCAAATTTCCTTAAGCTGCTTGACGATGCTTGATGAACATTGCCTTGAAGGGTGTCAAGAACCTTTGCATTTGTAGTTTCATTCACACCTTTTTCCCCTTCTTCCTTCTTACCTGACCCAGTACATGGACGAAGCCTACGAGAGCTTCGTGGACGCAGGGCTTCCCAGGGTCCGTTCGGAGCCGGGGACCGTTTAGGCATCGAGGCTGGCCCCTGTGGTGCCCTCGGCCCACGCCGATCTTCGGTACCAAGGTCTTCGCCAGCCACGGGGGCTTCGTGGACTTTGACGACAACCTCTTCATCTCTCGAACCCTTCAGGAGAAGAATCATATAGGACATTGGACATCACCAAGAAACACCGTAGCAATGAGTGAAGTGTGGGGGAGCGATGTTTGGTGCTTGGGTTAGGTTGGGTTGTGGGTTGAAGAACTTGGTGAAGTCTTTGTTTTCTCTCTGAGCGTACCCGTTGAAGGTCCGAGACGTGACGAACGTGACGCGGCGAACGACTGGAGCGTTGCTCCAGGACAATTGCCTCTTCAAGATTTGCCCCAACGCGGACAAAGAGGATGACGCAGAGCTTGATGTGACTTGGCTTGCATCTTTACAGACAAGGCGCCGGCTCAAGGCTTTTGGACTTTTCATCTTGGTCTGCTGGGTATGTAACGTATTTTTTGTGACTCCTCTCATCTGGTGCGCGACGCCAATCGGTCACCGGTCTGAACCAAAGCAGAGCGTTTCGGCCGCTGAGGGATCGGTGACTCAGTTCTTCAATGTCTTTGACTGGGTGTGTTCGCCTCAGAGTGATGGATTCGGGTGGTGCTTTGAGGCATGTTCAGTTGACGATCCTGTGCTTCCGGACGCTTGGTTCCCCCACAGGGAACGCACACATAGTACAACAAAGGGTTTTGAGGTAGGTTCCAAGTTGCACTCAGATTGGCAGATTGGCCACTTTCTTGCTTCGTTTAACAGCTTCTTGCCACAACAGCTTCTGGCCACACAGCCACGAGCTTCTTGCTTCGTTATGCTGTGTTTCTTGCCCTTAACGTTGCCACAGCTCCGACCCGTCGCTCCCAGGGCCGGGGATCGGCTCCGACTCTCGGAACCCTTCGACGAGCCTCGGACGAAAAGCGCGGACTGCGCGGACGGACGGGATGGGACTTCGCCCTGGGGAACGGGACTTTTTCTTAAAACAATTCGCCATTGAATCATATATATATAATCATCATACATATATATATATATATCATTGTGATGGCCAAAGCTCAGAGGGCCAAAGTTCTACCGCCCCAGGTGTTGGGGCGAGTATAGCAAGTGAGTTGGATTTCGAGGCGAATTGAATCGCTAAAATATGGTTCAAACGCAGGTCAGCAGGTAACCCGATCCAACCCTGCTTCGCCCTGTCAACCAGGAACGCTTTTGGCCGCAGTTATGTTGTGGCCCTGGCTACGACAAGGCGTCTGATCATCTCCGATCCACTGGGGGTCTGGAGGGTCATTGAAGGTGCCACCCTACCCAAACCTTGCACAAGCACTGACAAGCACCTTGTCTATTCCTGATTTTGTAGCTCAACAAGCTCAAGGCCGATCACCACCTCCCAGAGCCGGTCTGAGTGGCGACAGCACCAGGAGCCGCAGTTGGAGGAGCTGCCGCACATCCCGGACAACTGCAGCGTGGACGATGCGGACCGCCTCATCGGTGGGGGAGACCCACTGGATGGTTGCTTTGATGGACTCCATGACCTCCGGCGTTTCGGTTTTGAAGCTGACACCAACAAATCAGCATGCGTGTGACACAGGCTCCTTCTCCTCAAGGCCCAGCATACGTCACCATCCCACCAGTAGTGCAGTTCAGGGCCAAGTGCACGTTGGAAGACCAGAGACCCAGAGACCCTGGACCAAGACATTTGAACCCAATCAAGCCCGAGATGTGAGGCAAGATCCTTGCTTGGATGGATGCGAAAGAATTCTCGGTGCGCGATGGATTGGGGTGGGCTCGGTGGGCTCTTCTGAGTTGGTGAACTTAGATTGGTGAAGCAGAGGTGAGGAGTCTCACCCTGTGGAGGTGGGGTCTTTAAGATATGTTTTCAGTTTTCCACCATCGTTTCGACCTGTGGCTGGGGTCTTGGGATGGAAGGACTACCGATGACAGAGAAGGACTACGAGGGATCTCACATGTTTGGCGTTGGCATGAGGGCTTTTCTAGCATGCTTGCAAGTTTTTGCAGAACCCAACAAGAGCTGGGTGATCACCTATTCAATGGCTTCTCACTTGAGGTTGATGATGGACATATGCACAGAGCACTTGTTATGTGGCAACGTCTTGCCGATCCATATGTCGCACACCCATTTTGGTCTCGCATAGCCGCTTCTGCGCATCACTGGCTGGTGTTTCTGTCCAACCCATCCTTCTTGCTATGTTATTAGGACATCAGGGACCTCAATGCACAAATCCTCTAGAAGGACCTCGAAACATTCCTTGCGATCCCGCCAGCATCATTTCCTGCAAAACACGGGGTGGTTTTCGGCCCAGCCGGCGGCCCAGCCTTTCCCGGTGGCGGGCCGCGTCCGCGCAGATCAACCACACGCATCCGCGGCCGAGTCATCCGCTGGGACCGGCGAAGCTCTTTGCACCTCGGTGGACCGGTTCGCAGGTGATCTGGTTGATGACTTTCCTGGTAGCTAAGGCCAGGAGCCCCCTAGTAGCGTCCTTGCTCCTGGTAGCTAAGGCCAGGAGCCCCCTAGTAGCGTCCTTGCTCCTAGTAGC